AATTATATATTATTCTTTATAATTAGATATTTTTAGTATTTTGGTTAGTAGACTTAAAAAATTTATATTGACCTCATTTACTCTAACGTTATCGATTTTACTGATGGAAGATATAATACGTGACAACTTGCGTATGAATGACATGAAAACGATAGATAAAAAGATAATTTCAACGATAGTCAGTTAATTATATATTATCCTATATAGTTAGATATCTTTAATATTTCCATCTCTAGACATAAAAAATTTATATGAGTGAAACATTAACCCATTTATCCTAACGTTGTCATCGATGGTAGATATAGCACGTGTTAGCATATGCATGAACGGTACTGTATCACTCTGCCTCACTTGCTTTATCTTTCTCCTTTCTCGTGTCTTCGATGACCCAAATATCTCATCTACCTATTTTTTCTCTATTAGTGCCGACATAGATGTAGAGGAATATTGGATGAGAATAAGGAGACAGACTCGTGCGATGCCGATGCAGATGCCTCATCACTCTGTCTCATCTTTCTCATAGTCGTCAATGTTTAGATTGATATCAACAAGATTGACCTCCACCACCACAATCACCCACGATATCATCGTTTGTCATTACCGTTACAATTACCTTTTTGCTCATCATTTTCATGTCATTCATACACACGTTATCACGTGTTGTATCTTTCATCAATAAGATCAACGATATTAAATTAAATGAGATTAAATATTTTATTTTCATAACTATATAAATTTTAGTACAAATTTTTTAAGTCAGATTGGGATATTAAAGATGTCTAACTAAAGTGCTACTATGTAATTAACTTGAATTTTTCTTGATATAAATTATTTTTTTAGGAAAATTTGAGATTATCAACGTCATTTGCACATAATCTTTTCGGATGCGTGAAGGCAAGAAATCTTAATTGCACGCACGAAAGCCCATCCAAATCGATCGGGGTTTTATTGAATTGGGTATACGCACAAAACAATGCTAAAACAATAAATACTTTTGACCAAACAAGTAACATAAGATTCTTGCAAGCTTCGAGAGGAGATAATTAAATAATATATTATATTAGGAAAATCGATATAGTGGCAAAGGTTATTTTGATAAAAAATAATATTTTTTTATATGTTAAGTTAAAAATTGGATATATGAGTTGGACTTATTCGGAGCTAACTAAGATTATTTTTCACATTCCACTCAGTCTAATCTTAGTTAACAATATATTCATTCAACTTCGGAGTTTTTTATCCTATAAAATTGTATCGGAGGTATTTTCAATAATGTTCTTTCAATGCTTAAGTTAATTGTTGGACTTAAAAGATTCAATTAATACTTTGAACGACATTGGAAGAAGTTTTCGAAAATGTAAATAAGAAACCCTTCTATCGTGAACTCTTATGACCATTACTTCTATGATCAATACTAATTACAAAGAATGATTACAAGTTTCTTTTGGGCTCAATCGTGATTATGTCACACCAAATCTGAGATACAATAACATTTCAATTGGCTTGACCGAACTCGCTAGTTGCAATGGTCCAACTATAAATCATGTGTAAATCATGTATAAATTATATATTAATCATGTGACACTGAGATATCGATCATATATATATAAAGATGACTTGAATCCAAGATTAGCAAAATATAGGAATCAAAATAATGCTTTTGGTATTAAAAGTAGACAATAAAGCATGGCGTATATTAGGAAAGTTAATGCACTATCAAAAGCTTATATTGGAAACAAAATCTTTCGAGGAATCAATATAAAATAATTTGTCTTAATTAATGACACGCCAAACATGTAGTCGCTTTCCCTATAAAAAGACCAACAAAAATCATCATCAAAAGCACTCACAGGAAGTAGGCTACCAATAAGAAGAGGGTTTGGCGTCTGATCGCTTCATGAGAAAACAATGTGTTCTTTTGCATCTCTTGAAGATTTTGTGCTTCATGATGTGTTGATTATAATTGTTGGGATATTGCACAAAAGTTTTCGGTCACGATAATTATTATTATTATTTTATATTGTGCTATATATATATATAATTAGCAATAATAGAGAGATTTTATCATTCCACTCTATCTAATCTTCCATGACATCAAGAAATAATTTTCATTATCTAAAAAGAAACAGTTCTCTCTATTCATTATTGATATGTTTATTCATGTTGCAGGGGTAATTAATCATGCCACCAGTGACCGTAAAATAAAAATTAAAGGTAAAATTAGTTTCTCAAAATATTCAGATTATTTTTATGTGTTAAGTTTTTCTAGTCAAAAGTCTTTCATCCTAATTCTCAGCAATTTATTTGTTTTCCTGTGTATTTCCTTTTCTTATGTTTTTGATATCGAAATCAGGTGTCTTAAATATAGATTCAAATTTATGCATTCATGCTGCGGATCAAAATGATTTTAGTTTAACATTCTTTTTAGTTTAATGATCTCTTTTCTTTCCTAAAATTTGTTATTCTACATCGAACTAATTCGAAATAACAAGTTACTTAGTACATTGTCGATTTTCTACGATGTATTTGATTTCTAAATTTTGAAAACTAGAACCAAATCTCACAAGGTTAATTTCGATTTCATTTCCGATGGTTTTAGTTCGATTTTAAACTATTATTTTTTTTAAAAAAAATATTTTTTAATTTTTTAATTAAAAAAAGATTAAAATATTCTTATAAATATTTTGTCGAGAGGGATAAATTGATCATTTGTCCCTTCAGTCTCAAACGGTGTGGTTGGATCATTGGGCTAAAATAGTTTATCAAAGCCTTTTATGTTAGGAATGAGTCGGTACTAAGAAGGGGGAGTGAATTAGTGCAGTGGAAAAAATCATCGATTTCGAAAAATATTCGTTTATTGAAAACCGATTGGAAAGATGTTATCTTAAAAATACTTTCGTAAATGCGTAATGAGGAAGTAAAGCAATGAGTAAGTTGATTTGCAGCAAAGGTAAATAGCAAAGTAGAAGGCAGTAAATCGATTTTATAGTGGTTCGGTCGTCGTGACCTAAATCCATTTCCGATTCTTCTTCCGTCGAGGCCATGGGTATCCACTAACGATCTTCCTTCAATAGGCGAAGATCAATCACCTTTTTACACCCGTCTTCTCCTTTTTATTTCCGATGGTTTTAGTTCTAGTTTAAACTATCACTTTTTTAAAAAAAAATATTTTTAAAAATTTTAATTATAAAAAGATTAAAATATTCTTATAAATAGTAAATTGGGAGAGATAAATTGATCATTTGTCCCTTCAGCCTCAAACGGTGTGGTTGGATCATTGGGCTAAAATGGTCGATCAAAGCCCTTTGATCTTATTTTTGTTTTAAATTTGAAATCGTCAGACTCGAATCAGAATCGAAACTAAATCATTGAAGGCTAATTTCGTTTTGGTTTGATTCGGATTTCAACCCAATTCGATTCTGGTTTGAATGCAACCTTCGGGTTGGGTCTAACATTATTATTATTCTCCATTTATGCTGAAGTTTGACTACTATTTTTCCATACAAAATTAAAGGAAACGAAGCTTTCAGACAAAGTCAAGTTTCTACAAACGTCGAGACGATTCGTTTCATAGAAAAGGTAGAGAGGCATAACCCAAAATCAACTCAAAATATCGGGAAAGATGAAACCATAATTCCAAGTCTATTAATTCCATTTTTCTTACCCTGTTTGCGAGAAATCTAATCTTGACTAAAAATTTTATCGTTTTAGATTTCTACATGCAATATGGTTATTATTAAGATAAAGAATGTGAAGATAAGAGTGAAGCTAATTATTCGAAGACGATCATAATTTTTATATTTTTAAAAATTATATTGAGATCTCTAACTTCTGAAAGTAAAACATTTAACGTCGTTGCTCCAGTAAAATTATTATTTTTATCTTGATTTTTAATCCTATGAAATTATAATTTTAACCCTATATAAGGATCTTGATATTTTATTTTTGTAAGTATGAGGATCCTAATATAACTTTTGAAAGTGTAGGGATCGAGATGCTAAAGAGGGTTAATTTATAATTAGCCCAACGTTTACTGGGGATGAGAAGTTCAAAGATCAAAGTATGCATTAATTGTTCATCATGTTCTTTATGCTTCAAAGATCATAATTCTTGAAAAAGATGAAAACAAGATTATGAATGAAAGATAAGTTTAGCTCTCAATGTAAAGATGTGTTCGACTAATTTTTTCCCTAATTATATATATATATATATATATATATATATATATATTCAGAATATATTTTGACTCACTCATTTGTTTTTTTACAAGCCTTAACATGTTAAAATCGATGAGTCTTTGATTAAGATTAGCATATATAGTCAGTCATATACACCAATTAAACCTAATGTTGTTGGACATCAAACTCAAAGTAACTCGACTCTCTTAATTCATATCATCGTGAAATTAATTTCAGTCATCTTTTCGATCTTCACCTCACATATAAATATTCCAGATTTTTTAGACAGAAATAGCATTAATGATTTATTATTTTTAGCTGGTTTGATCCACATGATATTGATCCATGTAGACCTATATTTTGTAGATAATTGAGGAACTAATCATTTTGCTTTTCGTCCAATCTATTTATGCACAGATGAAAATATTGATGCGATGCCTTTTATGGGCCTAATTGATATGACTTTTCCGAATCTATGTGGTACTCCCATATCAAAACAGTTCTCACAAGTGGGCAAGACATTCGCGGAATCCAAGTGGAAGAGAGAGAGAGAGAGAGAGAGAGAGAGAGAGAGAGAATAGCATGTCTTCACTTGTAATGTAGCATGAAGCCCATTATTTAACGCATACGTAGACGCTTACATATCCATGCAGAAGAAGTGAGTGCAGCAGCACAGACTTATACATGATTAAGCTTCTATAAGCACAAGAGAAGTCGAGAACACCATACGAAGCAGAAGCTAATAGGAGGAGACTATCACAAGGAACAGTATCTTAGTTAGCGATAACCTGAGATAGTGCTGTGAGTCGCGTAATCTCGTCTCTCTCTCTCTGGTCTTTTTGGTTGATTTAAGTGCCTGGACACAGAATGTTTCATGGCATAAGGCTTAGTTCATCGAGGAAGGAAAACAAGGAATCGATCTTGGAAGAGCGTCGTTTACCGCATCCCTTTGGTGCCTTGCATCGATAGCACTCCTTCCTGCTAGCGAAGTTATGCTGGTTGCAGCCCGACCTGGCAAAGACGCAAGCACAAAGCTACATGAATCATTATCTTGCAGCAGATGCTAGGGTTTGGTGTTCTCTCGGACATGCATGACATGCAAGAGAGAGAAGAAGGTGCAAAGGGGAGTTGCAGGACACCTGGTGCACAACCAATCCCCGGACTTCCACCCGCCACCACCAAAGCCGATGCCTCCTGAGCCCGGCATGTCATCGTTGTCGAGCCCACGGCTGAAGCTGACGGCGGAGTCATCCTTGGAAGTGCCACACGAGTGGCAGCTCGTCCGGCTCGCGAAGTTATGACCACCGCAGGAGCAGTTCCAGTCGCCGGGCCGAAAACTGGGGACGCTGAAGCCGACCGAGGACCTTCCGAGGCCAGCATAGTCGGAGAGGTCGCCGGTGGACGGCCGCAGGTTACCACATTGCTGGCACGAGTCACGCCAGCTGAAGTTGTGGTGCTGGCATGACCTGCAGTCCCAGTCTCCTTGCCGCCTGCTCATCCTCCCAAACTCCTAGCATTTCACAATGGCGTGAGGAATCATAATCTACCGTCCGTATACGTTCATTCACGGGAAAACAATGAGTGGACAACGGAAGACTCCTCCCGTAACACAGAATGTATTGTCATCACATACACAAGCTTCATATAGACAGCAACAGTGGAGGGAGAAGTTGTTTGATGCTGACCTGATCGATACAAGGTAAGACAAGACGCAGAGAAAGGTAGAACGGGAGACGAGGCGATCCGGTGATGGGGTCTATTGCAGTTTGCGTGGGTTGGCGTAGGTTTTATACTTGCATGGGGCTCTCAATAATGGAGAATCAAGATGGGGACTGTACATGCACTGGAGAATTGAGTCAGAAAACTACAAGAGAATGGGAGTGACATCTCAGTCCGTCTCTCAACTTTATATGATTCCCGTCCTACAAATCCTTGTAAAAGGACGTGAAATCTCAATTATTAACCACACTCGATGTTGGCGATTGACATCCTTCCTGCTCTCTTCCTTTTGCAGGTAGTGTTGGTAATACCAACATGAATACCTCACAAAGAGGGCAACATTAACTTGCTTTTCCAGAAACAAGAACATCTCAAAGACCCCAACACAGAAGTGCTTGCATCAATTATTAAGAGAACTGGTTGCTATATGACTTAGCTTTACTGTGCATGCATGCATGCATATCAGTTTCCAGCACTAGCTAAAGAATCAATTCCCATGACCTTAGTCCTTATCGCATTTGGTAGTACACCTTTACCAATAATTTAAAGGTCATGGATTCCGGGAGCTTGGCTTCTTTTGTTAGCAGTGGATCGTTTGCGTAGGTTTGCTCCCTGTTCGCCAATCTTTGAACACAGCCAAGAACAGGAGTAGAACATGGTCTTAACGTAATCCTCCATAGGGGCTGGTCGTCCCGGCGTCGCACATACGAGAGCTCGAAGCCATGCATGTGGGATCAACATGGACGAGGAGGCTCTGTGGTGAGTTAGGATTGGATAAGAAGGAACATGGAACACATACATGTACAATACCAGCAAACAATGTGAATATTCCGCTCGTAAATTACAGCTTTGAAAAGGAATGAGTCACCTCTTATTCCCTATCCTCGAGGTTCTCTTGAGTAATGGGTACCATAGCATATATTTCAATGGGAGAAGAACAAAGAGAAAGGACTAGAAGAAGAACAAAACAAAGAAAAGAAAAATGTTTGATATGTCATGGAAGACAGAAAGGCAGTTAAAAAGTTCTTAGCATTAAATCTTTCTACAAAGTATAATTATATTGTTGTAGTCATCAAAGAATCAATTCAAAAACAAAAAAGAAATCTCTGATGTGGTGCTAAGCATGAGATGTCTTTCCGACGACGCAAACACATGTATCATGAAGGATTCTTGGCACGAACCTTCCAACACTTTTTAGACTCTAAGTATATATATATATATATATATATATATATAT